AATTTCCTTCTACCCAATCTGGATTTCATGCCTGTCATAGCACTACAACTCCAAGTCACTGATGACATATTTAGAGGATGGGATAATAACATGTGCAGTTATTTGTTGCTGTTGGACTATAGTAAGGCATTTGATACTATCGTTCACTCGGTCCTTGGTTAAATTAAAGTACTTCGGTTTAGGACAATGTGCAATAATTTTTTTTCGTGACTATTTGTCCGATAGGCACCAGCGTGTTTGTTCTGGTTTTGTGCATGTAGAAGTGTACCAACTGGTGTGCCTCAGGGTAGTGTGTTGGGGCCTTTATTGTTTTCGCTGTACACCTCTGACTTTTCAAAATATTTAAAAACCCTAAAGTGTCATCAATTTGCTGACGACACTCAGATTTACCACTCCTATTATCCTAAGAATATTCAAGATGCAGTACAGGTCATTAATACTGACCTTGAAGCAGTGGCTAGAGTCTCCAATGCGCACAAACTTGTTTTTAATGCGAATAAAACTAAATTAATTTTGTTGAGATACGGTATCCGCAAATCCTGATTTGCGAATTTTTCTCAACAATACTTTACTCACACCAGTGAATTCATACAAAAACCTTGGTCTCAATATTGACGCTGATCTTAGATTTTCCACCCATGTATCGTCATTGATTTCGAATATTTATGGTATTTTTTGGCTTGTGTACATGCACGAAGATATTCTTGACACCCAGATAAAGCTGAGGTTGTCAGACTCGCTCATTCTCTTACACATAAGTTACTGCGATGTTGTCTTTTGGCCTGCTTTATGACAGCGAGATCGGTTTACAAAAGTTGCAAAATGCCTGTTTGAGGTTTGGTTTCAATGTACAGAAATACGATCACATTACGCCTGCCCTACAAGAGTCGGGTTGACTGTCAATAAATGAGAGATTTTTATTCCAAATGGCATGTCTTGTTTATGAAATTAATGTTAGTATGATGCCAAAATATTTATTCAATAAGCTAATGAAAAGATCTGATTTTCATATTCATAGTACTCGTCATGGAGGTTTGTATAGTGTTCCGCGGCATAACCTAGAGTTATTTAATAGGTCTTTTAGCTATGTTGCTCTGAATGTATTCAATTCCATACCCGAAGATATCAAAGGATCTCCAAGTATATTTGCTTTCAAAAGCAAATTTAAATAAAGATACAAAAATAACTATTTTGCAACTCGTACGCGAAATGCTCTGGTGATCTCGACTATCAGTTCTCGATCACCAAAGTAGCATTTCGCGCACTAGATACAAAAATAACTATAATCCTTGATTTTTAACCTCAATGTGAAAATATATACTATTTTGATTTGAAAATTGCCTGAGTGTTTTATTGGTTTTACCTATGTCAAGATTTGGTTGAGTTGTATGCCTTATTTTTTTCCTTATCAGAATTATCAATTACCGTTTGCTAATTATTTTTTTTAAGTGGGTTCCTGAATTTTCACACTTCAATATCTTATGTAATTCAATTTTTTTTTTTGCAAATTCAGTGGCGCCCTTGCCATTCTGTACTTATCAAACTATTGACCCACCCCTAATATCAATTCGCTGAGCAAACTGAGCATATTATGGGCAGCCTGACTGACATCTCCTGAAGATGAAATCCACTCGTGATGGCGAAAGGTCGAGAACCGATCTCCAACGACGACGGCCGAACAGTTCGAAAACCCACTCATCATCAAAAAGAATCGAACTGTTACTTCACAATAACCAAATGTAACGTGTTCATTTTGTGCAAAACGGCGTCATATCAGTGATGACTGTTTCACCAAAGCTGCTATTGAAAAACGGCGCAGTATCAATTTTTGTTGTGTACAAAAACCGACTGGAGCTACAGAGGTTTTTTATAGATGGACATCAATTTTGGGCTCTTATCGGCACTGGCGCAGATTTCTCTTTGATTTCAAATAAATTTCTAGAATTATTCAAGGATAAAGTTGTTACTTGCAGTATTTTCATTAAAGGAATCACAAATCCAACCATTACAGCAACAAAGAAATTTGCAGCCAACACTAAAATAACTGACATTGACACTTCAGTAACATTTATTTTTGTGACTGGAGAATACTTTGATTATGATGTTTTTATAGGATCGAAATTTGGTTACGATAACTGATCACAAAGGATCACGAGTATTACGACGGCAACTTTCTGGAGTCGTATTTGAAGCAAGTTCAGATATTAGTGCAATCGCAGCTCCTTTAGAATATCAGGCCGAAATTCAAAACAATTTTTCAGTTCTATTATCACAACTGGCACTAAAGCGGATGCAGTAAATAATGTTACTCTTAAAATAAAATTAGAAAAGGATGTCATTGTTGCATGATCACCGTATCGATGGTTTGGAAGCGAGAGCGAAGCTGTGCGAGAAATAACTGCAGATTTAATGACGAATAAAATTAGCTAACCAAGTGATTCTCCTTGTGCCAGTCCTATGATACTTGTCAAAAAGAAGAATAGAGATTTTAGACTCTGTGTGGATTACCAGGAACTTAATCGACTTACGATAAAAGATAAATTTCCTCTTCCACGCATCGATGATCAATTGGATCGATCGGGCAAGGGGCAATATTTTACTTCTTTGGATATGACGTCGGGATTTGATCAAATTCCCATACATGAAGACTCGGTTCAAAAAACGGCTTTTGTTACGCCCGATTGACATTTCGAGTTTTTGTGGATGCCATTTGGCTTAGCGAATGCCCCTGCTGAATTTCAGAGAGGCGTGAATTCTGCATTGGACTCATTGAAAGACTCAATATACAGATACAGATAGGATTGATCTATCTGTAATTTGAGATACTTCTTTAGAGTGGAATACTTTCTTTCACCACTTTCTGTGTCTAATTCCGTTGTTTAAAGTATTTCCCTCATAATTTTAGGGGTATCAGTGTCTCTTTTCTCGTTGGTTTATTATCATGAGTATATGGATTTTTGATCTTAGGCATTTCTTTTTCTCCTTTAGCGTTTTTTCTTCTCATACATTAATTTTAAATAAAATTTAAGTTAGTATTCGCTTCGTAAGCAACAGATAACTTTTCCATTATGCATGTACGATTTTTTCCAACTCGCTCGAAAGCAATTATATGCCAAAATTAAATATTAAAGAAGCACTTAAGAGAAACGATAAACTCTTTAACTGTTTCAGCAGTAAATAACAGAAAGAAAACAAGAAAACTTTTAAATTTCCTAAGTTTATAGTTGCCGGGTAATCGACTCAAATAAGCCGGCATTATTTTTCCATTAGCTACAGAATGACGTTTAATTTATTTCAGGACATTTATTATTTAACTTCCAAAAAACTTTTTTGACAATTACACTAGAATTTGAAAACTGAAATTACAGAGAACTTTGGCCTCTTTCTGAAAACACAATTTATCACTGCCCCAAAACAAATAGTCTTTAGGACACAGTAGAGCTTTTAATTTGAGTAGTGTTTTATTTTGTAGGGAATTTGAGAACATTATAATACATTTAGGCCCGGTATATTTATCTTCAGATAACTATCTGCAAGATAAATTCACCGTTTTATAATTGTATTGGTTGGCGGATTGCTGGACAACCAATGAGGTTACAGATTGCGTTTGCATACCTGACAGTTTATCAGAAAGTGAATAAATCGGCCCTTATACATAAATACATAAATTATTATAAATGAGGAAAATCCTAGCTTCCAGCATTCACACGGCAGTGGGGTCAATACCGTCAAGCTATTTATTTTTTCGGTTTTCTCTTTTCGATCGAAATTTCTCCATTCGAGTAAAAAATAAAAATAAAATTGAACTACACTCCACTTAATTAATTCCCTATCCAACACGACCCATAAATTACAGCCTCGTTTTTCACAGTCGGGTAAAACGCATTAAAACTTTCCAAAAGTAATTTCTTTTGTGTATTTTTTTTTTAACAAATCTCTGCGGTTGCCATTTTCACAGCTACTCGTTCATTTTAGATATCTAAAAATAATAACAACGAACTCATCAGGTAAAATTGATTTGTGCTACATCCAAAACATAATTTAAGCTCGATAATTTGGTGTCTGAACAATATGTTTTATTTCACATCAATATAAATTATAGTTTTGTCGTGTTGTAAATGGCGTAAATCAGTCGGATAAGTAATTGTATATAGTATTGCTTTCTTGTATCCGAAATGTAACTTCCAACAGACGCTACAACAGTTCCCAATGGGGTGCATTTGTTAAATAGCCGATAGCCAATTTTCAATTTATTTGTAGCAAACTAATCTTTTATCTGTTCGTGTAAATTGCAGACATTTTATTTGTACAGAGGATCTTGTCGTTCGCCACTTTCTCTCATTAAGGATTTTTGGTTTGTTGTTTTTCAATCCCCTGTGATATTTTTTTTCTTTTAATTACCCTTTTCCAAACCAATAGATTTATTTCACCCCATTGCTTTTATTTCAGTCAGTTTACTGAGCAAAATCCCTATGGGGCTCTGCCTGTCAGATTTTCAAGGATTAATTATCGGACCATTACACTTTCTAATCCCTAAAAGCAATCCATAGAATTTCCCTTGGATTAAGCCAGTGAATCTTTATGAATAATTATTTTTTTCACAAAGTAAAATTTAGTAGAAAATTACCCCATATTTTCCAAATTAATATAAGTGCTTGAAAAATATTTTCCAATCTTGATGGATACTAGAAGAAAAGTAGCAAATGCGAATGTAATTTTGGTTTGGTTACAAACGGATCTGATTCCCCACATATTTTTCGTTTAAAATTTAATTTATTTTTCAGTATAGGACTGTTCTCGGAATAAGACTGGAATGCCCTGGAATTTCCCTTAGGAAATTTCAAAGATTTATTAAATATTTTCAGGAAATATTAAAGATTTATAATTTCAGCTTGCCAACAAATTTTTTATTTGTATACAAAACACAACAATATATGGTTTATTCAGCTGCGGTTTCAAAATTTCTTTGACCATTTTTTGATAATTAAGGTGAAACTTACCCATGGTAAGCTAAAAGTGACAACAGGAAGAACACGCAAGCCAACACGTCTGCTCTTCCAACGATGCCCGTGACCTGAAATAAAAATTGAAAGAAGAATAATATATTTTAGGGCATAGCTTTTTCAAATAGTCATAAACCTACTTCCTGGCTAACATAGTAACGCTAAAGAGAAATTTAATCCGATTGCGCTACATAATAAATTCTCTTTATTGCCACTAGTACTATAACGTGGCCACTTTATGTTCTACGTAGGCTAAAATAGATCACACTATGCTTTCACGATGGCATTTATAGGAAAAGTACTTCGGAGATGAGGTGGTTGATTGTTTCACTGCCGTTTTTTTCAAGATATTTAATTACAATTATTGAGAGTCTAACTTCAAAGGTTCTAATTATGAAGTTAGGTCTTCCTACGCAGTTATTTATATAAAGTATTAGATCTGTTGTTTGTCACAATTCCACGAGAGTTTTTCACTCACGTACAGAATAAACTTGCGATCCATTAAATTATATAATTCATGATGTTCTGAATAGATGAAGGGCTAGTATTTTGAGTTGACCAGATAAAATAAATACATGCGTAACATGCCCATGGTAGATGTGGAAAACAAAGTCTCACAGTCAGAAGGCGAATGGCAAAAGAGGGAGCAAGTTCGACAATGGCTCAGTGGTACCTACACGAAAGCGAAAGAGGAGCGAGCGCACCTTCTTATGAGCAAACCAACAAACAGAAGTGAGGGAAGAGCGAACTCCAGACGGCCTACTAGGGAAACATCAAAAACAGTAGGTACTCACTAGTCAGCGGCATGAATGAACATTAAATACATTCGAACCTCTCAAATCGACGGGAGTGGACCAGATCTTTCCAGCACTCCTACAAAGAGGAAAAAGAGAGATCATGCCACATCTTGTTGATGTAACCAGGAGCATTATGACGATGCGATATATACCTAAAATATGGAGAAGGGTCACTTTCATCCCTGAGGCAGGCAGGAGGGATGGGACAGACCTCAAATACTTTAGATCAATAAGCCTCGCATCGCTCCTTCTAGTGAGGATGGAAAAGGCAGTAGATAACTATATCAGATCCACAACCTTGGAAGGCCACCTTTCCACCAGATCCACAACCTTGGAAAGGTGGCCTTTGCATGCAAGTTAGCATGTTTACAGAGCAGGTAGGTCCACTGAGACAGGTGTAGCGTTGCAACCGGAGGCTTATTGTGCTGGATCTTCCTGTTTACTGGACCCATTCCAAAACCCTGGTTTCCTGCAGTAGGCGAAGTAGGTCTGTTGGATGTTTGCCGTATGTGTCTGGTTCATCTTCTCCAAATATACTTTGTCTTCTGCGAGTTAGTGCATCGCATTCTGATATAATATGTTGGGCTGTTTCAGTCTCTGTTCCGCATAGTCTGCAGCACGTGTCTCCGTTGTACAAGCCCATTGTTTGCAGGTGATTCTTAACTGTTGTGTAACGAAGTTACTATATTTTTTCTCGGGAAATAAAAGAAGCGGCGGCAACATCGCGCGCGCCGATATGATTCCCTCGGCCGCCCGGGGGCATCGGCCGCGGCAGACCTACGATTTGGGGAGACATCCACTCGTCTCCACACCGACCACGCGTACCAAGGTAAGGATGGTAGGGCTCTGCCACAGCAGTCCCCGCTGCATCGCGTTCAATACCGTAGATACGGATACATATACCAGCAGGGTATCTAATCGTTTTTAACACCCTTCTTCGGGCTCTCTTGGCTGTCTTCCAGAACGTCCTCCTTTTTCCATCCTACCTACATGTTACCTCGCGTTGTCTTGGCTGTCTTCCAGACAATCCTCCTTTTTCCATCCCTTCTAATCGCATTAGGGTTTCTGCAGGCCAAAACAAGTGCTATTTACGGGTACTGGGCTGCAAGGCTGATCTGTAATTTATACCGTAACCTGTCCGAGCTTAACCGCTACACCGTTAATTTGTCATTTCAAATACCGGCGCTATTGTTGCACGAGAATCTTGTCTGTTTTATTTCCGTTCCCTTTTTTATTCCTACTTTCAGATAACTTTCGAAAAGCTTGTTATTTGACCTCTGGGATATTTTCTCCACTGTAATAAGCTACCTGGAGCAAAGTGGGCCCTCAGCCACTCTCATACTGAGGGCCCCCGAGATTACCGTCATTACCGATTAGATAATTAATCACAAATTAATTCAACTCAATTAAAAACCGAAAGTACGTCGCAAATTTAGCGCCCGAGCAGGGACCCAGAAAAATTTAAACGGATTTTGCACGAAGTGGCATATTTTAGCTGGCACCGTTGGAAGGACCGTTCAGACCGCTGTTAAACCGCTGAAATCCATTACCATTAAGGAAAAATTGCCGAAATATGTCATTTCGACCGATTTCTGTTGTACGCATGCTCAAACCAAATAGTGAGCCGACGAATCCATTTTCATGATACCAAATGGAGTACTTAACTTGTTTGATTACCGACCCTGGAGTATCCAAAAATCCCTTCCGAAGAGAGAGACTACAATGTGCGCAGTACCACAATCCCTACCACCATTGGAAAAGTATAAAATCCGATTTTCAAACCGTGGAGGGGCAGTTCATCAAGGGCCACCAAAGTGAGGAGACTGAAAAGAATATACGCCGATACCGTTTTGTGCCGATACCATCCCATATCAACCATGACCGAACCGTTTATCGAGACCGAGTACCTACGAGTCTTTAAGGAGGACAACAGGATAAGCGTAAGTTTACTTTTGAAATTCTAAATATTTCTGTTTTTGTTTTTGTTATATTGCCTGAAGTATTTCATTGCATGTCGGTAATAGGTATTATACTTACCAAGAAAATTAGTTACTTCCCACACCTAACTTCAGAGGTTATCTTGGGAATGGACATTCTGCGATAGGGTTGCCAGACCTCCTATTTTTAATATGAGACTCATATATTTCAACTGTTTCTCATATCTCATATTAGCATGTTTACTATGAGACTATTTCTCATATATTTTCACCAAAAAAAAAAAGAAACTATGTACATCACTACCATACACGTGATAGGCCGAAGTCTCATGCGTCCGTTATCCGACCGTCCGATGGTACGACAGAGCTCCTATTGGCTAAAAAATTTCCCGCCAGTTTTTATCCGAATAGTCTCAACTTTTCAACTTTAACTCCTTCTGTTCTCGGATCGTTTTTAACCTTTCTTTTTGACTCACTGGTGAATAGTAGAAAGTAAAGAAAACAATAAGCCAATTTGCGTTTTAAGCTTAAACTGGTCGATACAAAAACAAAACGATTTTGGGTCAGGGATAAGTTTTTTAAACATCAAAAAACTCAAGGTGTTGTCCACAACTTGTTATAAGAAATGAGACTGACGGATCAGGAGGAATATTTAACTACCCAAAAGAATGTCCAGCAATGCATTCCAAAATCTGCTAAAAATCATAGCTTATTATCAAGATGGGAGGCATTTTGCAGTAAGTACATAAAATATTCTCATATATTATTTTCCAATCTCATATAATTTTATACAGGCTCTCCTATTTTCGAAACTCAAGTATCTGGCAACCCTATTCTGGGATATCACGCATTTCACCTTGATCTTCACTCCAACTTATTTTATTTGGATAACCAGCTGTTAGACAATCCAAACATGTGTTGCCCGGTTGGCCAGATAGAGTCATTGAGAGTTAACTGAACAAGAGACTCGGCGCCTTCGTGAGTTTTTCAGCAGCGAGGTACCGAAATTTGCGCGGCACTACACCGTTAATTGAACACTCAATTCATCTGTTAAAACCCGAACCTATTAAACAACGATACCGTCCACAGAACCCGAAGATGCAAGCAATAATTAACGAAGAAGTTAAAAAGATGCTGGTTGATGGAATAATCGAGCCATCCAACAGTCCGTGGAGCTCACCGGCGGTCATTGTCCGGAAGAAAGAAGGCAAATACCAGTTCTGCATTGATTTTCAAAAATTTAATGCCATTTCCAAAATCGATGCACACCCATTGCCATTTATCAATGCCATTTTGGATAAGCTCCGACGGGCACGATACATTTTCAGCATAGATCTTAAAAAGGGTTACTGGCAGGTACCGTTGGCCGAACAGAGCAAACCGATAACCGCATTTACTATGCCTGGTCTAGGGCTGCCAATTCCGAGTTATGCCATTTGGCCTTCATTCTGTGCCAGCCACCTTCCAACGCTTGATGGATAACATCATACGCCTGGAGATGGATCCGTATTGCTTCACTTATCTCGACGATATCATTGTATTGGGAGAAACTTTTGAAGAGCATCTAAGCAATTTACAAGAAGCGTTCAACCGTCTCCGAGGGACAAATCTAAGATTGAACCCTAAGAAATGTCACTTGGTCGAAAATCTCTCCGATATCTAGGACACCTGGTCACTTCCGAAGGCATCCGTACCGATCCTGAAAAGGTTGCAGCTATCCCTCAGCTTCCACCGACAACAATTTACGAAGCCTAACACGTTTTTTGAGTGTTGCTTCGTGGTACCGCCGGTTCGTTCAGAGTTTTTCAAAGATAGCTGTGCCACTAAACCGCCTTCTAAAAAAGGGAGTACAATGGACGTGGACCGAGGAGCACCAAACCGCTTTCCAACAGTTAAAGACTTGCTTGCACGAAGCCCCAGTTCTGGCATATCCAGATTTAACTAGACCGTTTGTACTAGCAAAAATGGCTAGGTGCAGCCTTGATACAATACGGGCCAGTGAGTGATCAGATAATTGCATATGCAAGTCGGAGTCTCAACGGCAACGGAACGAAATTCTCGGTCACAGAAAAAGAGTGTCTAGCTATTGTATGGGGCATAAAAAAACTTAAGCCGTACTTAGATGTATACTGTTTCACCGTAGTCACCGATCACCAATCGCTACGATGGCTTCACTCCATCAAGAGCCCGTTCGGAAGATTAGCCAGATGGAGTATGTACCCCCAACAATTCGATTTCGAGATCAAATACCGAAAGGGAGTTCCGAACAGAGTAGCTGATGCCCTGTCAAGAGATCCCGTAGATACCGAAAACAATCCTACGCCGATTGTAACTCTGGAAGAATTCACACCATGCTCTTGGTATCAATCAAAAAAATCTGCCGTGGAGAACGATCCTATTGCTTTGCCTGACTCCTGTATTTAAGGAGGACGTTTATACCGTCATTTCTGGGATATGTCCGACCCTACCGAAGATAACTTGACCGACCCATGGAAACTGTGTGTGCCACAATCGGCACGTAATGCTGTACTGGCAGAAACGATTTGCCTACCGCAGGACATCTGGGTATTGCAAAAACGACCACTCGAATAGCACGAAAATATTATTGGCACGGTATGTTCAGGGATATTACCCGATATGTTCGATGCTGTTCATCATGCCAACGATTCAAATCGTCACAACAAGCCATACCGGGGAAAATGCATTCTTCCAAAAACAACCAGCCATAGGAAACAGTAAGTACCGATTTGGTTGAACCGCTACCACGTTCCTCAAAAAGAAATTCGTACATTATGGTGTTCTTAGATCGACAACACAGTGCCGAGCCATCCGGAAGGCGACGGCAAGAGCCGTCCACCAAATTCGGATGTCCCAGCACCATAATTTCCGATAACGGAACAGGGAGTTAATAAAAAATATGGGAATGGGAATAAATTACCGGTTAACCCCTCCGGATGTACATTTAGGGAGGGGGTGTGTAATAAAGTTACTATATTTTTCTCGGGAAATAAGAGAAGCGGCCGCAACATCGCTCGCCGATCCGAGAGAAGAAGAGAGAGAAGAAGGTCTCGCATCTTCCTTTTTGACTGTAGATTCCTGCGCCTATGCTATTCTCAGTCTTTGACGCGTCCGAGCACCAGGTCTGGCCTTTGAGATTGGAGGGTGCATGTTGGTTTTCCCATTCCCCCCTTTCACTAATTAGGACTTGGAAGGATATGTCGTGTGAGTATTTGGGAAGTACATAGTCAGTTATCATGTCGAATACTGTCAGATTTATGACTTCCCTTATTTTAATATGGCCTGATCTGACTGTTAGTTTGCTCAGGCTGTTTTCGTTGTCTGTGGAGGCCCATCCTGAATCACAATGTGTAGCTGAGGTAAGTCTAGTAGGACTTCCATAGCTGCTGTTGGTGTGCTTTTCATGTACCCTGTAACGCCCGGACAGACAAGTCTTTGCACTCTGCCAAGTTTCATTCTGGCTCTGTCTTGTTGTGTCTTTGTCCACCATATGAAAGACGCATAGGTTATTGCTGGCTTCACAACCATTCTGTATAGCCAGTGCATTATGTCTGGCCGCAGCCCCCAAGTATAAGTACCAGTTCTGACCTTTTAATTGCTTTGTCCAGATGTTTGTTCCAAGTTAATTTTAAGTCTATAATGACCCCAAGATATTTAACTTCATCCGTCAACCCTACAGACCTGCTGCATGCGATCTCTAATTGTATGGTTGTATTTTTCCTGGGATATTATGACCAAGTCATCTGCGTATCCCACTACTTGATGGTTTTTGATCTTTACTAGCTCATCCATCACCAGATTCCACAGCAAGGGTGATAACACTCCGCCTTTCGGACATCCCTTTGCAACCCGAGCCGTTACTGTTTGGGGAGCTAGGAGCCTGGAGTGGATGACTCTACTTCGAAGCATGCAGTATATCCATCTGCAACATGTATCATCAATACCTCGTCGGCGTAGAGCTCTCATGATTGCCTCGAAGCAAGTGCTATTAAATGCTCCCTCTATTTCAAGGAAGGCTCCCAACATAACTTCCTTATTTTCCCGCTGGACGAGGTGATGGGTAAAGTATGCTCACCTCTGATGTGGAACAAGAGACCGAAGTCGGAGTATTTGGGCCTGGAATCAAGTTCTCGGAAGCTATGGTAAAACAACAAGACATATTTCAGGCGGAAATAAGCGCGATAAGTAGATGTGCTCAGTTCAATCTTGACAGAAAATACAAAAAAAGAGAAATTGTCATATTCTCAGATAATCAAGTAGCCATTAAAGCGTTGAGCTCACCAATAATCAGCTCCATAATGGTTTGGGAATACCTGGAACAGTTAAACAAACTGGATAAGAATAGAAATCTATCCCTCCAGTGGATACCGGGGAATGCGGGGATCGAAGGCAATGAGAAGCTGGACGAATCGGCGAAATTAGGAGCACAAAGTTCGCTTTCAGGATCGGTGCTCATCTGTGGCATAAGGACGCACACCTATAAGAAAGCGTTCAGAAAGAAAGGGCCCCCAATTCATTAGTTCATACAGTTTTTTCCGGTTTCCCCAATCTTTTTCGCCATCGTGTCTTCTTATTGCTATGTTTTTGTATATTTAATTAACTAACTATCTATATGAGAGAATTCCTATGAGTAATTTTTATTCATTAGTATCTACTCACCGCTTCAGTGTGTATAGGATGAACACTAAACATCAATCCAGCCAAAGCGGCAAAAGGTGGTTTGAGCTTTGCCACGCACAAACACACCTTGGTAAAGAGCAGACACGCCACTGCGTGCAGTGCAACGTTTGTTAGATGAAACGCCGCTGGGGTGAGGCCAAAACATAAGTAATTAGCTCTGAAACAAATAACGATATATGATTTGATGTGGTTTAGTTTATTCACTGAAATAACTTGAAACCAAGTTGATTTATTAAATTATTATTTTAAACTCGTCAACTACAATTAAAATGCAAATTACTCTCTGAAAGAAAATCATATCTGTCGTAATCCTAAAATACTTCATATATCGCGCCTCCGTCGACGACATCGTCACTTGAAACAAAAAGGAGATCTGGAAGCTTCCACACCGCATTCGTAATGAAGTTAGCAAGCGAAATCATGAACGATTAAACCTTTCTATGAAACTTGATAATTGCATTGGAGAAGTGTTGAGAATGTTGCCGGGATTGTGTCGTGTCGTGGCAGATGGCGGTGTAGATTTAATTTTATTAAAGCTCGAAATAAAAATGTACCGAGATATTCACAATTTCTTGACTTTCAGCTTTAACCCTTTTCTAAACAAATTGTTTTCAAATTTTAGAGTATTATTTATACAGGATGTTCTATAGAAGCGGTCCACAGCGTCCAACTTACAACTGTGAAAATATTAGTCTCAAACTTCTCTTTAGACCAAAAAACTTCTATAAGTTTTTTTCCTAAACCACCAAAATATAGTGAATTAGTGTGTATCTAGGTATGTATGTATGGTAATTTTTCGCAACTGAGTATCATTGGAATATAATTAAGTACAACTGAATTGATTGCAATAAATGGGGTGTGTTTGAAATTAGAACGACATTCTCAAAAATTGGTGTAAAATAACGAAAAATATCAGATAAGGTTCAATTATTGTGACTCCTACCGAAAACATCATAGAATCAATGATATAACGAAAGACTAGATTCTGGAAATTCCGGACTTTCTATATCCAGCAAGGCGTGATAATAGGATTTGGCTTTAAATAAACACACCGCCTTAGAAAATTCTCGTTTACCCAGAGGACAAAGAATATTAGCAGTCTACGACGCCGACGTCGACGATGGCTATAATACACTTCGCTTTTGTGCCACTGCGGTATACAAGATTTTAAATTTTCTTTCTAAAATATTTATCCCAATTTACTCCATATAATGACATCCCAAATTGACTTTGAGCCAGAGTTTTCAAATACGTTTTATCCCCTGACTTTTAATTGTGGGTTTAATATTCAGTAAGTTTCCCCTTTGTTAATCTTTTCAAAAATTTTAATAAATTATTACCCATAGGTATTGTGACTATATTAAATAACGGTAATGTAAGGTTAATTATTTAATGGGCTCTTGAGTTTTGGAGCCTTAAGTAGTTCTTATCACGCTAGAATGGAAAGGTCAGTGATACTTTAATGTGTTTTAAAGCCAAACGCTTTTTGGCACAAAAAGATTCTAACTTCTATCTGAAACATAAGTAAAGCATTGTTGTTGTTTATATTTGAAACCTAGCGAAAAATATCTAATGAAAGTTTTAAAGACCATTATCTTTTGTCAACTTTAATAAAGTAAAAACATAAAACTGTATTTTTAGTCGAAAAGACACAGCAAACCACTGGTGATAAACAAGATATGAAAAGCTTTTAGGACATGTCTTATCCAATTTTATATTATTTTGTGGCTTGTTTACCAATTTTTGGCTTTTATTGTGTATTGTTGAAATATTGCCAGTTTTGTGTGAGTCGCGAATATGTTTGTTATACAAAAGTATGTGAAAAATGATTTTTGTTTAAAAAAGCTTAGTAGTTACGTGAAGTGAATGAGGCTTTATTGATTGTTGTCAAAAGTTACTAATGATTCTGATATTTTATATTTATGTTAGTTCCTATATTTCCAAATACCAAGTATGTATTGTTAGCTACCCTGTATGCTGTTTGACTTGCAACCATTCTAAGTGCATCTAATATGATAATCAGACATGCACCAATCAAAACTAATCTATATTTGTATTCTGCGTCATCAGATTAGTTCGAAATAAGTCTTATCTCACAAGCGCCTAATCCGATTTAACATCTGACCCTCTTTGTTCGATTCTCGATACCAAATCAGATCATATCAAAGTACAAAGTTTGACGCAAGTTCGGACTATAAATAGCCCACTTTGCTTTTGCAGAAGGTTCACTCTCGACTCAACATGTTTGAGTTATTCTCTGTATTTCAGCTCTTGAATAGAGACATTATTGTAGCTAGTTTTAGTTAATTTGAATAATTAAATCTTCAATTTAGTGACAAGTGATTTTACTTCGGAAGAAATAAACTGGTAGTCCAAGGATCCCAACATTACTTTCCACTTAGTCATAGTCAATTCACAATAATTATTCATGATCGTGAAACTTCAAGGGAAGTGGGATTTGAGCTCTAATACCATTAAAAATACATCGTGGTGTATGCTTGAGTATTTGTTTTGTGGGTTTAGTTTCCTTTATCATTACGAATATTGTTACGATACATTTATCATTCACGTAACCTGTTTTATTTCTTCTAATTTTCATTATAAAGTTGTATTTTTGCTATTTCAGAATCAGCAAAATAATAATTCATAACTTAAGTAAAATTCAGTTATTTCAATATAATATCAGTACTGCCATCTATCCATAATGAGCATAAAAATGCAAGTATCTGTTATTAAAAGAAGGTACCGCCATCTAGTACCTGATACATTTATTTTTCTAAATATTATTTTTATTATTTCTCATTGGCAGTCATTCGTATTTTCATTTAAAGAAATTATATTTATCGCACTTCTAGCAATTGGAGATATTTCTGTGTCTCTCTAACTTCTGTTTCTGGAATAATTGTTTTTAACTTAATGACCTAATTAATTAGTGGTTAACCTTAATTTAAATTACAATTAAAATAATTCTAGTGGATTTTTATCTATTCTCTTTTAATCAACGTGGTGTTCCATTGATTTAGAGAGCACGGTCTCTTGTGTGTGTTGAGTGTTGTCTTCTGATTGGCCGATCTGGTTGATACGCAGTTAAGTATAAAAAACACGAAACTCGTTTTCCTACAGGATTTTGCTTCTAAAACGCTTTTTTTTTCTGGCAGTGGCTGAGCAGGCAAGTCCATTTTGATTATTGTAATTTTTTCCTTCAGATTTCTAGATTTTCCCTTAATATTTTTCAATTTATTTTACCATCAGTGTGTACTACCATATCACTGTTGAGTTTTTACCCGATGATAAATCTTATCTTATCTACTTTTGAAATAAAAATATTATATTTTATTTTTTTAATCTTATTGTGTGCCTCCACTTTGTGATTGGTGGTCCCACGTTTTTCTGAGGTGAGTCAATTTAGAGTTTTGGGCTAATAAATAGGTACTGCTGCTTTGATTTTCGGAATGAATTGTTAGTGTGGGATTATTAGACCATTTGCTCTAAATAGAGTCGGTGCAAACCAAATTTGTGTGTCCATCCCTATCAACTCTTCACTGAATCCAGGCAGAGGCCTGTATAGCTATTTTCTGTTTGACTGCTCCAATTATCTTCTCGAGTAAGAAGAGCGCTGGAAGGCTGAAATTTCAAAATAGAGATCCGGATAGGTCAAAAACTCATTTAAAAAAGGTTTTTATTAAAACATCTCAAGAATTTTGACAAGTCCGGGATTTAATTAATTTCATACTCAACTTTATCTTGTATTACCTATAGTAGGTTCCTTAAAAGAAAAATTTGTCTATTTGGGGAAAATCTAGGGATTCGAAGAAAATAAATCCACTCGCTAGGGCTCGTGGGTTAAACTTTCTTCTCATGAGTAAACATTCATTTAACTCACTTGGTGTACAAATAACTATTTCCAATTTGCAATAGTTACTCATACTTACCTGATTCTGTTGGAAAGGAGTGTCTGCGCAACAAGAGTTTTATATTAAACTAATTTCAATTTAAATCTTCTTTGTAAGACAGTCGCTTTTTAACAGAAATCAGGGATTTAATATTCCAAATCTTGGTGAACCTGATACTGCTTTATTCTTTTCTGGGTGGGTACCTACTCGTCATAAAGATCACTATTCGGAGTCTGGATCAGCTGGAATGACGTCACACCAGCTATCTATCCTTTTTCCTGGATACAGGAAACAACACGAAGAGCTCCAGTTCACGGAAGTGAAACCCCAACATCCATTGAAGAGCGCCGGATCGGAAAAGGTACATACAGTATCAGTGTGTCACCAGAACAACCAAACTGCTAACTGTCAAATTTTCACAAGCAACTTGTTGCTTGCATTGTTACTTAAATAGTGAAAATAATATTATTATTTGTTGGAATTTGAGTGGTTTCATTTGTAATTTATAGGTTCTCTTGTCTTAAAGTGCAAATAACTAATTTATTTGTACCAGGTTAGGCTATATCTAATATCCTGTGTGCTAGTTCGTTTCTGTTCTGTAACATTATGGGATATATCCCATCCCTCCCTGTTGAATTTTACGGGTCAAAGGTGTTTATAGCCCATTTGACTTTCTGTTAGTAGTTGTGAGTTAATAATTGTTCTTTTTTCAACTGAATATTTCCTTCAAAATAATTCAATTGAGAGGTAAGCGTGATCAATCGCCTTCCATTCGAGTCATAGATGGCGCAATAGTCATAATTCTACCACCGTTGTAATAATAGATACATATTTTTTTTTAAAATTGGGCTATCTTTACGTAGTTCCGTCCAAAAAGCGCCAACAATTCAATCCACGTACGGCCGGTTTATGTCTCTAGAGTGCATGCGATACTCCTACATGTTTTGCATTCGCGATTTAACTCCGTGAATACCAAACGCCACAAGCGAAATCGAGTATACTTACAAGACAAAATAATGCGTAAGTTATGTATCCATTTATTGAATTCTTTCAAAATGAAGTAAACCCGCAGCCTGTAATCAGCATAGCAAAAATAAATTAAATTTTTATCAAAGCCGTCTTTCACTATCCAATTTTTTTATTTATATAAACAATGCAGAAATATTCTGGATACTGCTTTGTAAGTCCCGTGATAATCCGGAAGCCGGAATGTTACGCTTTTCGCTCTCGCTTTAGTTTGCCAAACTTTATTAATAATATATGG